CCCAGCCTGGCCCCACGCGGACTGGAGCGACACGTTACCCGCTTGCAAGCGTAGGGCGTGTCGCGCTGGCCGTCGCGACACGCTACGCATCCTTCGATAGACACCGTCGCGACCACCTTCTGCTCCTCCCTCTCGGACTCCTCGAAGGCTTCCCTGGGGCCAGCTCTGTATCCTGAACAGATCTGATCATGCGACCAAGCGTTTCAAAACGAATCGGGCAGGAACGGTTGACAGTAGTTGTTTCTCGTTTGGGTCGCTTGTTGCGACTGGCGGCCTCGGCGGCGGCGACGACGACGACGAACCAGGAATAGCTGTTAATCGGAGCAGTGCGACGCCCCCCCTGAGATCCGACGTCACAAAAGAATGCGACATCGTGGAAAAACAATACCAGAGCCCTAGACCATCTTTCTGCGGCACTTGTTCGAGCCAGGTCGATCTGCGATGGTCCTGGGGCCCGGAACCTGGCGAAAACGCTCGTCGTGAAACAAGTGCAACGCTTGGGCCTCACGGCCCCTGGGGCCTGAGATCGTCCTGCGGGGGCCCAAGAAGATGGCGAACAGCAGGCCGCCCCTGGTTTCCCGAGCCGCCGAACGTTTGGGCCCCTCGCGGAGACCCTGGAGCTATTGGTCTCCAGGGCACCCCGGAGGCTTTCGGGGGCCACGAAAGTAATCGAAAGCACCCAAAGGCCGAAGAAGACGAAGAAGAAAAAGAAGAAGAAGAAGAAGAAAACAACAACAACAACAACAACAACAACAACAACAACAACAACAACAACAACAACACCAACAACAACACCACCAACACCAACAACACCAACACCAACAACACCAACACCAACACCACCATCACCACCACCACCATCAACACCACCACCACCACCACCACCAACAACAACAACAACAACACACACACACACATACACTTTCGGAGGCACTGGACTGGACCCTCACGGCCCCTGGCGCGCTCCGCCCGCCACGGCAGAGGGGGTCCTGCGCCAATTCAACAATGTGTGGACCTCAGAAAATTGACGTTCGTATTTTTCCTTCTCGGGATTATCGTACCCTCCCCTTTTCCTCTCCTCCCCTCTCGCCATGAAGGAAATGGTCCTGAGGGAAGCGGGGTCTTCCTCATCCTTAGACTCTGGACCCCACGCCACGTGCGGGCCTTGCCACGTATTGACTCTTGAGTATTGAGTCTTCCTGTTCCTATTTCGAGTCTGTCTCCTCCTTCTCCTCCTCGTCCTCCTCCTCCTCCTCATCCTCCTGTTCATCATCATCCTCATCCTCATCCTTCTCCTCCTCCTCCCCTTTATATATTTTTCTGTTTTCCCCCCCATCATCATCATCATTGTCATAGGTGGCCACTTGGGCTCGGGCTTATTTTGGGCGGGGTCAGTCCCCGCGTGGCCCCCAGCCGACCATTCCCGCCAAAGCGCGCTCCCGATCTCCTACACGGCATCGCAAGCACCGGCGCCAGCCGCATCGAGACAGGCTTCGCGATGTGGAACGGCTTCCATGACATTACGGATCTCTTCCGCCAGTGTTGGTTGCCGGCTGGTGCATGCCACCGAATGGGCCAGTTTGTGCTCGTCGTAACCGCACGGTGATAGCGATAGTGATCGGCCACCGTGGGCACCGAGGTACCTCATTGGCAGCCATTCCTACCGACGCCGCCCGCCTCGCGGTGAAGGCGATGAACATCGCCCACGAGACTTGCACCTCGATCGCCACGGTGACTGCCCTTGGAGGACTCGAAGTGTGGCTTTGGTATCTGGCCCATCAGGAGGAGCGCAAGTTCGCCATAGAGGGCAGGGACACGCGGAGTAGGCCCTCGAGAAATCGAAGAATGACCCGGAGGTCCTGCACGCGACCACCAACCCGAAGGGCTGGCAGCTGAGCCAGGTCGAGGTGCACATTGGGGGGGGTGAGGCACTGGCGGACGCGGTCAGGCATCTCCAGACCAAGTGGAAGGGCATCTGGGAAGGCGAGGAGTGCGATAGCGACCCGACCGGCTCACGCTCCCTCGTGGATCACAATTTTTGCGTCGCGATTTCGACGTCATCAGCACCGACGACGTCAGGCCCGTGGCAGCCGCGCAGCTCAGACGGGCAGGCCGCGCCTTTCCACGGAAGATTGGTTTGGGACCAGACGCCTGTCACCCAAGGCACTGGGGGGGGGCCGCTCACCCAACTACAGGCAGCCAGGTAATTCAATACGATCTGAGAATCGGCCCGAAGCTTCGAATCGTGCCAAGTTGCCTGACCGCCGGCCCAGCCAGCCCAGGGGCCGTCGGCCCGCGGAGGGGAGGCGCGGCCAGCAGCTCCCGGGAAATGGGCGCAGCATCGGGCCCCCGAGAGCGAGCTCAGGGGCCCCCGAAGGCATTTCAGAGGGCCCCAGGTCGGGAGTTTCAACCTCGCCGCGGGCGTCGAAACTGGTCGCAGATCCGCTGCGGATCCTGAGCGGACTGGGTACTTTTCGAACAGATTTGGGCGTTTCGGGCGGCCCACAGGCATCACATTTGGAACAGACGTTGTCGGATCACCGTTTTTGTGCTGAAATAGATATGAGGGGCAGCGAAGGTCTCCGAGGACGATTGACGCAGAGGCACGGGGCACGGGGCAGGGACGACACGGGAGAGAAGGTGCCATCTAGAATTTTAGTAAGTCGCTGTCGTCTAGTGATTTTCTGGGATGCGGCGTTTCGCTCGTCGTCCGTTCTGATTACTGGTCCTCCGGATTGCCGGCGTCGTCATCGTCGTCGTCTTTGCCACCGCCGCCGCCGGCGCCGTCGTCGCCGTCAGCGCAATCTCCGCCGCCCCCGTCGTCGTCCGTCGCCAGCGCCAACGCCGTCGCCTATGCCGTCGCCGTCGTCGTCGTCGCGGCGGCGCCCCCACTGCCCCGCGCACTGCCGTTCCCGCTCGTTCCCCGCCTCAGCCCAGTTCGCGCCCGAGCTGCGTCGGCGTTCTAGCGGCGAACGTCGCAGAGACCCCGTGTCCACGCGGTCGCCGCTTCGCCCATGCGCTTGGGCGGCACTTTCCAGAGGCCCTCAACATCGCGTTCTCTGTTCACGCCTTCGCGCCGGCGCGCCAGTCGCCGCCCGCGCCGCCCCTCGCGATCCCCGCCCGCGCCTCGGAGGCGCGCTCCGCGACAGTCTGCGTCGCAGCCAAGGTGCCGCTGTTCAAATCGCACCAGCGCTACCTGACTGCCCGCCACGGCAGCGGCGGCGATCTCCGCGAGCGCTGCGGAGCTATGGGGGGGGGGGGGGGGGGGGGGGGGGCGCGGCCAGAGCAGGCGGCGGCGGCGAGCGTCGCCGCGCATGCGAGGGCCGCGAAGGGCCCAGGCTTGAAAATCATACCCATTTCACCCATGAGTTCGTTGCAGCGGCTGCGGGCGAGGGCGCGGGCACTCGAGGTCAAGCAGCAGGCCCGGCAGCGGCAACTGCCAGGTTTGGCGCTGGGCGCGGGGAAAGCCGCGGCCGACGTCACCAGTCGCGTTCTGGTCCACGTAGAGTCGTAGAGCTCAGTTGCAGAACAGCGCCGCGATTGCCGCGCTCACGGAAATCGAGGAGCGCTACGACAAAGTGCGTAGGGCGAGCCTAGTGGCGGCAGGAACGGCCGCTAACTTCCCCGCGTTCGCGCTGGGTCTGCCGCAGCGCACGCGCCTGGCACCGAGGCCGCTAGCACGGGCGCAAGAATGTCCATCTGAAACGAGGCCTGGACAAGGATTGCCCCCAGAACGCGCGTTCGCCACTGGGCCCCCGCAGGCGCTCGCGCGCGGCCCGGCGGCCACTGCGCGGGAAGACATGTCAAACGCCCGCTGCAGACGCGCATGCTCGACGCCCGCGCGGGCGACCTGACCGGGGCCGCCCGGGCGCGCGCATCAGTCATCGCGCAGCGCGCCTGCGAAATGCGGGTCGACTTGGCCCAGACGCCCAAACGCAAATTGATCATGCATCAGGCTGTGGGCAAAGCCTTGCTGTCCTCCTCTGGCCCAGTGGTCGGTCGACGCGGTGCGAGATTGCCCAGGGAATGGAGCTCCCGCTGCGCAGACTCGATGGACATGAGGTCAGGTCAGGCCCGCCGACCATGCATGCCACGATCCGCAATGGAATCAACAATACAAAAGCCAGGTTGCGGCGTTCCGACAACCTCGCACGCTGGGGCATGGGGCCTGGCATGATCGCGAGGGCCGCGCATCCAGCGGCCATGGGCATCACGCAGGAAGCGCGAGGACGAGCCCCGCCGCTGGCAGGCCCATTCGCCCGAGAAGGAGGACCAGGTGGAAGCTCGTCGACGCCGCCAAGGGCGCGCTCGGGCCAGTCGCCGCTGGTGCCCATTGGAGCCAGAGGAGGGCGATGGTCCACAAGTACGCGAACGAGGACCTTGAGAACGCAGCTTCGAGCCCGAGGTGGCGCAGCGAGCGCGGGATGCCCATCCCGACGTTCGCCGCTGGACCCGGGCATTGATGCCGCGCGCGGAGCTACCGCGACCGCCCACTCGGGATGGCAGCGGGGCGCGGAGGCGCGCGTTCGGAGACGCCCGCGCGGTCATCGCAGGGGGAGGCCCATGGAGGCCGGAGTCGTCGGAGGCGGCGGCGCTAGCCTG